TCATATTGATTCATGAATATAGTGTTGTTACAAATCTTTGTCTTTCTTCACGATAGATTTTGATGACCTCTTTGATGACGATGACCTTCGCTGAAAAAAATAAGTTATTGTGATAATGAAAAGCTAAACTGGAATTGTTCGTATGTTACTAAGCTAGAATATGTTTCCTTGGTGAAATTAGAACAGCAATTAACTGCTATAATGCCGTCGTTTAAATTAATTCTTACTCCTGTACATTGAAAGCAAATAAATGGTACATGTGAACTGTTTAAACTTGTTTGTAACTTTGTAGCGGCCAGTATCTATGACGTTCAACAACTGGCCCAGGTAGACTTAAGATCAGCTAGTACGACTGAGATTCCTATGTATATTTACCATCTTTCTTGATTTAATTAATCACGCCATGCTTTTGATATTTCTAATTCTGGTGCCATGTAAGGTGCTTGTTACATAAAAAACTAGTTATGGCCTAGCTTAATGGCACTGTCTCAGTGGAAGAGCATAATCTGCAGGTTAAGGGTGACAACCAAACTGAATGTGTAGAACCTCTTCCCCTCTGAGATTAGTACTTGTGAATACATGGCATGCTTAGAGAAAGTGGGAGTTGCACTAGGCTAGGCTTTGGGGAATGAGCTCATCTTTCTGCTTTGAAATGGGAAGAGAGAATGGGTAAACATACTTCACTCTGGTGCAATAGTTGAGATATTTTGTCCTGTCTTTTGAGCATTGTGCCCAATTTATTTAAGGGAATGGGATATGATGGCAATATTACGACAAGGCGTTGTTTTCAAGGCCCCTCAAACAATTTTTAGAGAACATTCTGACCCCACCCACCCTACTCAGACATCAAACTGTGCTTAGGAGTTCATATGAAGTATTACCTTGAGGAATTACAAACTTATCATCATTTTTATCTTCTTATTTTTTTTTAACAAAAAGTTTGTGAAGGGTCTCAAGTTTGTAAATATCTCAGCAGTATGATCCTGGGTGACAGCACAGCTAAAGGAGATCCTGACATGTTTTTGATTCCCTTCTTATTAATGGAGAGGAATAATTGATTTAAAATGAACTCTGGAATGTGATAAAATACCGGAAAAAAAGTTGTCTGAATGAGTGAAGTGGATAAGCCTGTCCATGCCTCTATGAGAGATTGCACTCCATCCCAATGCACTTAAAGAACACTGTACCAGACAGAGTGCAGCTTTTCCATCTGTTGGTCTTGATTATGCCCAAATTTGTGCTAATTCAAAACAAAAGACAATTCATAAAATGTTTTACCAAAAAATCTCATGAGAAGATTGTTTTAGAACAGAAGGTGAGGTTTAAGTCCTTGCTCTAGATAGGGCCCTAGCGTAGAAGGCGCATTGCTATTCAGGGAGGGTATGAACGGTTCCCTTTTCTTAAAATAGGTCAGGGCTCTTACAAAGTAAGGCAACAGACAACCACCCCTCCCCGCTAAGTATTTTTGTAAGTCACCCAATGTCACGTGATTAGTTTTTACGGGATTGTTATTCTCGTTCAGCGTGGATGATTATTAGGTTAGGGTTAATTAAAAATCTGTTTAGTGCTCAAAAAGTATCCCCGTCAAAAGCATACTTTTCATTTTCTGGTATCCAATTTGGAAGACAATATTTCAGAAAAAGCTGCCTGCACCCTTTTACCACACAATTCACTTCAATGGCGCAGAGAACAGCTTGTTTGTTTCAGCTGTATCCTTCTGTTTTTGTCGGTGAGTGTTCTGATGTCTTGGTTCAGTGTCTTTACCTATGTACTCGCTGAACTTCAGTGTATTTTAGTTTTAATTTTACTTGTGCATTTCTAAGTCGATTCTCCTAACGAAGAATCGACTCCTGGTCTGTTACGAATTGCACAATTCGGATATGGGACCTTTGCTGTATAGGACACCATAGGTAACCAGTTGCACAACAACCCCACCAGACTTGCTGGGGCTGGTAAGGCTAAAAACATGGTAAGTGTGAAAGGGATAAATTCTGGAATTTTGTTCCGCAAGGGAGAGTAAGAACAAATTCCCATTTATTGTACTTTTCAAGATTTTCCAACCTTCCATTTATGTGCTCAATTGTTTGGGAATTCTTCTGTAAATAATCAGCGAATAGAGATGTGTTCTTACCACAACGAAATGCTAATTTAGCGTAGGATGTGACTACTCTCTTCCAGCTCGTATATGACGAAAATAATGCTATAAATAATTCAATTTAAATGGGTTAGATGAAAAATCATTTTACATGATCACTATATATTAAAAAGGTGTTGTGCTGAACAAGTTGAAATCTAGAAATAATCTAAACACCACAACAGACAGAGGCTTGTTTTGGGACCAGACAGTATATTGAATGTATATATCCTACATAAATAACACACTAGACTATTACATAAAAAAGATATTGGACAAATATACTAAACCATTGATCCAGTAATCAGGAATATATTACAAACATGAGTGAGATTGAGATACAATCAAAACTGTTGATGGTGTGGGTAGGAGGGAAACTAAAACTTTCCTAAAGCTAGAATAAACTTGTTGCTTGCTTGCTTACTAGATTACTAATAACACGTGCATAGATACCTAGGTGGTAATACTAAAGTAATTTTGCAATTAAAATGTGTTAGCGTGGTGAATAGCCATTGGCTCTACCTGAATCTTATGACTTACATGCTGAACAAATTGTTCAATCTTAAAGAAAAGGGAAAATACTAATTTGCATCCTACCTGTGCCTAGTCCAGGCCTCTCAGTTATCAATGTCTAGATTCATATTAATAGAGATTAATATTCACATTACTCGTAACCATTGTGCTATCGTCTACTCAAAGTATTTTGACAGGCAGTGGATTTAATTCACTCACTTCACTTCCAGAAATGTGGTGTGTCATGAAATTGTGATCATACCTTTTAGTAAAAGCGATTATGTGTCATATACACAGATCTAGATAACATTCCCCTCAAAAATTCAACAATCATAGAAAATAGTGTACCTTTCACATAATTTTTCAAGATGAAAATGCCCTCACTTTTTAACTTTGCTTTTTCAGGTCTGGTAATTTTTTATTTGACTTCTGAGGTAACAGCAAACTCCACATCCACTATGGTGTCTTTATCAATATCGCCTTCAAAGGCATCTACATCAACTATTGCATCCTCAACAGTGGATTTCTCTACAATGCCACCCAAGACACAAAGCCCAGCATCAGGATATGGTCATTTCAATATATCAGGGGCAGATGGGAAACCTTGCCTCCTTTTAGATATCTCATGTGCGGTGACCTTACAACTGCAAAGTGAGGCAAGTGTTTTTCAGCTATGATGATCTTATGATGAGCATTCAAAATGGTGCAATAACCATGTTTTGCTGGTTATTTACTGTTAAAGAAAGGGGTATTGAAGAAAAAAAAAATTATGGCTGTAAGATATTGTTGTAGGGTTGATAAATCTGAAACATCTACTACCTGCTAGCCAGTTATTTACTATGTTTTTGACATTGAGGGATTTAAAAATATGATGCTTGTAAATAAAGGGCATTTTCATCAGTAACCACAAGATCCTAGATTAGATTTAAAGATCAAAGGTTTTGGGTGTTAAAAAGAAAAGAGTCACTGTGAGTAGTAGTCTTTGCGCATAAAGTAGCTGAAGTTTCATGGTAGACCTCTGATAGAGCTGAAGCCACTAGAAAGTTTTGTTTGGATGTCAGCAATGACTTATTGACTATTTGGGAAGCTTAAATAAATGTTGTATAACCAAGTGATCAATACTTAATACGGGCTTGATATCCTTAGGAGACTTTTGACCTTCCACTGAATGCCATTCCAAGTGGAACTTGTGGAGAGAAGACATCATTTGTGTCTCTTGCTTGGAAATCAGAATCGGCCAACATGACCATCTCCTTGACATTCTTGACTGTGAAGGACAAATGGATAACTACCAGCCTGGTTTTCACTTATATTAAAGACATCAGTGGGAGTGGTCAGTGACATTACTGCTTTAAGTCTCCCTATATTCTTTGAAATGTGAATTAACCTCTGGAACTCAAGAACAACTTACAATAATTGTGCATCTAGAGTTTAAGGATCAGTTTTATGAGCATAAATAATGCTTCATGTTGTTGATAGTTGAACTGTCGGTGAAAGCCATTACTACTATAGTATGATGGATTCTTTGTATGCTGTGTTACTGATTACAGACAATAACAGGGTAGGGGGATAGTGGGATAATCAGAAATTCACGAAAAGCCCAGAAACTGCTCAACACCTCAGAGCACTAATTACCTTTTGTGGCAAAATTTTTTTGTTAAAGTGAAAGTCATGAACTAACAATTTAAGTATATTTTTATATGAAGAGTGGAAAGTGAGTGCAGCCCAAAATAATTCTGAAAAGCTGATGATGACAGCAGCAAAAGAGAAAAGTTTTAAATGCAGTGAGAGCCTGGACATAACACTTGAAGGGAAGAGTAAAGTCACAGTTAGCATAAAAAAGATAAAAGTGCAGCCATTTGGAAGTGACTTTGGTGAAGGTAGGATCTGTGGCATTACAATAGAGAGTGTTTTTGTTCAGTATTCAGTTACTGCAATCGTTAACCTTTCACTCCCAAGAGTGGCCAAACATTAGTACACTTTCAAGCAGGATGGGAATGAGAATAAAGAGAATGAAGATAATCCAGCTGGGGATATTATCTTTTTTAACTTGTGGTTTTTGGTTCTAAAATTGTTAGATATGTATAGAAGACAGTGCAGAAAATTGATACTTGAGTGTTTGAAGTGGAAGGGCTAAGGTGTATATATATGTAAAGTCATGTATCAATTTTGTATTTAATGTCAAGGCTTAGGATCAATTTTTATCATATTCTTCAGTAAATTGCTTTTCTTAAGGAGCAGAAGTAAGCAAGTAGGGAAAAAGGAGTCATCTTAACCTTTGACCCTTAGGAATAATCATGTTTTACCTTTACTCATGGAAACCTGTCAATTGTTCAGGGTTGTAAAAAAAGTATTTGAGTTAGTGGATAGTGAACTAAAGTATAGGCACTAGAGGTGGAAGGCTCCCCCTCCTGCAGGCAAGGACTCAGAATATATGGCACACTTTCCAGATGAGAAGGTGGAATGTGCTGGTAACCAGCTTCTCTGATGACTGATTATTTATTAGCAATTCACCAACCAGAAAGCTATATCTTTCAGTTGTTATAGGAATTCATCTTTCTACATCTTAGGACTGAAAGGGTTATGACTGCTCTCATTAGCTGAGCAGGCAGCTTGTTTTAGTCCATTCAGATGAATCACACTTGATGGAAAAATAATTCTTGCAAGCTTTGAATTAAGAGAGTTTCACCACTGTTGGAAGAAATTATGTTACGACTAATTTATTGTATTCCTTTTTGTGTTTAGCTGATGTTTGCTCTCCAACGCCAGGTAAAAGCCCAGCTGAGCATGTGGACACTATTGTACCAACTATTGTGGGCTGTGTGTTAGCTGGGTTGATTGTTATTCTTATCATTACATACTTTGTAGGCCGCTGCAAGAGAACAGGTTATGAAAAAATGTGATTACAATTTTGTGGAGGTAGTCAGCTAACTAATTGTGATTGAGAATGATGTGACAGTGATAAGACTGTTCTTGATAATGGAGTGTGATATTTGAAGTTGAGTGAGTATTTGAAAGCATCCTTTACTTATTACGAAGACTAAACAAAGGGAATGAAATGGGTGAATGAGAGCAGTTACTCAAGCTGATTTCACTAGCATGCAATGCATGCAAAAAGTTAATCCAAATAACTTGTTTTTGTGACTTGATTCCCTTGTTTTCAATATAAATTCAGATAAACACATTTTTATTAACAGTTACTAGCACATTATGGTAATTTTAAGGGCCACCTGCTTTCGTAAAAACTTTGAAATCATGTGCGTACATTCTCAATTGTTCATAATCTTTTTGAAGAGTACTCATTATTTTTTGATAGATGTGTCATAAAGTGACACAAGTTTTTAACAAGCACTTGTTGTAATTGTTTTTGAATAAATCTTCCTGTAATCCTCTGTGGTAGAGTGTCAAAAGTCAATGAAAATGTTCAGAATTTTTACAGTTTGTACTCTAGCATCTCCCTTTCATTCTTTTTTCTCTGTATATCCATGGATTTCCGTGCCTAGTACGTCACGTCACTGTCACGCTTTAGTACGGAGTCGAAAGTTCAACGGCGTGTCAAATGGCATGATGTCGATTGCATGACTAGCCTGGAGATCTGATCTGGAGCAGAAAAACACATAAACTAAGTTGGATAGTAATGTAGAGTTGTCGAATATCCCATTGAAAAAGAGAATTTTGCAACGCCAATCATATTGCAAGTAATCCCACAACCCACCCTAAATACGCATATAAATCCTTTTTAAAACAGGGAACTTGAAAAATTTATGTGACTTCTATAGGCTCTGAAACGTAACTTTCAAAGTTAATTAATTTTATCTTCTTTTACCACATCATTAAAGGCGTTCCCAAAATTTCACAATGACAGTGTCAAGCCTGGAACAAAGCAGGTTATGAAGCTCCTTCATTCGATATGATTCCCATGACGAATCATTGGAAATCATGCGACTAAAGTAACGGAAAAGTTTGCCCCGAACGTGGGTGGTGTATTAGTTACGTTCAGATCTTGGATTTACAGAATTAGAATATGTGAGCCAATAGCAGTTGAGAGTTCAAAAATCTTAAAATAATTGTGACCGCCCCACCTAGCGATTACACTGCATTCTGGGAGGTCTCATGTTCGTCATGTGACTTTCACTTTATCTCGTTTCTTTCCGGGAAAAGGGTTCTTTCGAAAGTAGCGGCGTGGTACGACCTGTTTAGAGCCGAAAAAAGTAAAAAAGGTGAAGATGTTGAGGCTTTTTGTAGCCCTTGTCTATTTGGGTGTTGTCTTTGGTAAGTAAAGCTTGTCTAACTTCTAAGAATACATTTAATATCCTTTCAGTATTAGTCGGTCGAGTGTGGCGCTGCACAGAAGAGGCTTCGTTTGTTACTTTTGACAAATACGCATACGCGGGAAGGTGCCACCGAGTTAAGTTTATTTTGGAAACATAAGTCCCTAAGTAAGAGAAATCTAACTTGTAGTTTATTGTTTTTGTGATGAAATTATTTTTTTCGAGGTCTTTGTTGGCCGTGTTTCAGCGAGAGTCTTCCACTATCGATTACGTGATCTGATCATGATAGTGCAATAGCTACTATTTCAACTCGGCTTGAATTAGATTCGTGATGTAGTTTATACTGCGAGAACACATGTTATTTTAGGTAGAGGAGTTTTCTTCGCGGTATTTCTTTTTCTCCCGCCTTCTTTGTGTTGCATCATCAACCCACATGCTGAAAGATGGTTCCGCTTTCAGTTATCATTCAATTGCCTTGTGACAATTGGGTGTCTCAAGTGTCTAGGAAAGTTCTTCATATCGAGATAATTTTTTGAAAGTCTCTCATTTTTACCAGAGCGGATACATGAGTTACAATGTAGCCATGGAGTGCAAAATTTTGTATGCAAGGAAATTGCAATTATTTATATTGCACTTAGGGTTCTAGACTCTTCTTTGTGAAGTATGTTACCAAATGGAGGAATACCAAAACATTTAT